TTAAGCTGAAGAACCGTCCTCGTCTGGCGTCCTGTCTAAAGTCGGTGGCGAGCGAGGGGGGGAAGTGAGAAGGAGAAGGCCTTCTCAGAAGGCGGCGGGACTTCCCAGAACTCCCTTGGCCTTCTGAGATCTTTGTGTCTTCGGAGAAAGCTTAGGAACCTTTTTTCAAAAGGCTGGGAAACTTCCGAGCCTTCTGGAACAAAAAGGCCCGCCCCTTCTCTCAAGGGGGGAAAGACCAACCAGACTGGATAATTGGTCGCCCTGGGCGTTTCTGAAGCAGCCCTGCCCTGTTCGATTCTTTCTCTGGGTGCGTTTACAGAACGGCCTCGCGTGCCGGGGTATCTATACACACACATATATTTATTTATATTATATATATATATATATTTGTATATATATATATATATATATATATATATATAAATGTATTACAGATATGTATATACATATGCATAAATATACATATATATACGTACATGTCTATATCGATATGTGTATGTATGTATGCATGCATATATATATATATGTATATATATTATATATATATATAATATATATATATCTGTAAATGGGCTGGGGCGCCAAAAAACGTCAAAGGGGGCCGAGAGACGTCCAAGAGGGCGCCAAGATGGCCCAACAGCGCTCTAAGAGAGCCGACGACCGTTGAAGAGCGTTTCAAAATTGGTCCAACATGGCTTGAAGACAGCCCAAGAAGGCTTCAAGACGGCCAAGATGCTCTCACAAGTACTCCCACGAGGCACTCAGGAGGCGAAACATGTTTTTTTGGTTCGAGGGTCTTCGAAGGTTTTTCGTGTTCTCGCTGTTTCGTGCTTCCGGAGGTCCAAGACAGCCCGCGAGGCCCCAGGAATCAGCTCAACGCGGCCCAATAGTCACCCAAAGAGGGCGCCACGACGGCGCAAGAGCGCCCCGAGACGGCCCCAAAGCGCCCCAAGACGGCCCACGAGGCGCCCAAAAGACTCCAAGAGGGCCCCAAGACGGCCCCAAGAGGGGTCCAAGGGGGTGAACACGAACCGACAATTCGAGCCTTCCGTCCCAAGAGGCCTCCAGAAGGCCTGAAGAGGCCCCCAACAGAGCCTAAGAGGCCCCCCAGAGTCCCCCTCGAGGCCCCAAAGAGGCCCCAAAAGAGGCCCCACGAGCACCCCAAACATACCGGTGCATAGCAGAGGACCGCCTAGCCTATCGTGGCATCGCAGCGTTGCATGACATGACATGGCACGGCACAGCACGAAAGAGCTAATCGTGTCAGTGCATGTCACAATATGGTTCAGCATGCCATAGCATTGCTTTCCATAGGAGTGTCTAGTGTCTAGCTGAGCCTAGCACTGCACGTCACGACGTGACATTGCCTAGCATGGCGTTGCATCTCATGACGCATCGCGACGTAGTGTGACATTCCAATGAGCATAACATCATCAAACAGCATTGTACTGCTCTGCGCAACAGTAAACAGAAATCATGCAAATTTCACACCCCCGTTGTTGCTCTTACTGTCGTCCTGTTTGTTTTAGCCTAGCAGTTCATACATTGCATAGCATTGTATTGCATTGCATTGCATAGCACGGTATGCCGTGTCTGTGCATACCATGTAACGCGGTAGCATCGCTCCTCATAGGAAGCATAGCATGATATGGCTCAGCGTGTCATCCCATATATTATCCGAGCATTCCACAGCACAGCATGGCATGGCATGCAATGCGCACTGTAGAGTCTATCATGTTATTGCATTGCATGATGCATAATGGCATTGCGCTTTATGGCGTAGCATGGTGTATCAGGGCATTCCGTAGCATAGTGCAACATGGCGATGTAGCACTGCATTTTTCCTGGCCCATAGCTTGGCGACAGATCACCGGTCGACCAGTCGATGAGAGCGCAGGAGGAGGAATGATGCAGGAGCAGGAGGAAGCAGAGAATGTTGACCTCATTATTCGTAGCCAGCTTGTTGTGTCGATGCGGTCAGCACTCGACCAGCTAGAACCTAAGCGCGCGCGAAGCGAGCGCGATGGTTCGAGCATATACTTATATTTATTCCCCAATCAGAGCTTGCCCCTGTAGGGGTCCTAGCGGATTCATTTGGCTAGGTGGGGTATGGCGCCGACTTCGGCGGCACGCCCGGGTGCCCAGTAGCCTATAGCCCTATAGCCCTCTAGCCCTTTAGCCCTATAGCCCTATAGCCTTAGAGTCTTATAGCCCTAATTGCCCTATAGCCCTATAGCCCTTTAGCCTCATAGCCTCATAGCCTTATAGACTTACAGTCCTATAGCCTTATAGCCCTATAGCCTTACAGTCTTATAGCCTTATAGCCCTATAGCCCTGTAGCCTTATGGCCCTATTGCCCTATAGCCCTATATCCCTATAGCCCCAGAGCCTTATCGCCCTATATCCTTATAGCCCTATAGCCCCATAGCCATATAACCCTGAAAAGATTCTGATTCCCCAAACAGAGCTAGCCTCAGAAGGGGTCCTAGCGGATTCGCATGGTTAGGTGAGGTATGGCGCCGATTTCGGCGGCACGCCCGGGTGCCCGGGTGCCCGGGTGCTCCGGTGCCCGGGTGCCCGGGTGCGTGCCCGGGTGTCCAGGTGCCTGTGTGCCTTATAGCCCTATAGCCCTATAGCCTTATAGCTTTATAGCTCTATAGCCCTGTAGCACTATAGCCATATAGCCCTTATAGCCCTATAGCCCTATAGCCCTATAACCCCGTAGCCTTATAGCCTGATAGCCCAATAGCCCTATAGCCCTATAGCCCTGTAGTACTATAGCCCTATAGCCTTGTAGCCCTATAGCCCTATGGCCCTATGGCCCTATGGCCTTAAAACCCTATAGCCCTATAGCCCTATAGCCCTAAACATATTATGATTGGGTTTTCTGCGGTATCAGATGTATGGTATATATATATATATATATACACATTGTAGAGGCCTCAGGCCGGTGCCGCCGATCCAGGACGATCCCTCTGTCAGAAGGACGCTTTCGCCCCATCGCGCTTGTTAAAACGTAAGTGGTTTGGAAAAAGCTTGGGGGCAATGCGTAGGCTTCTTGAGGGGCCTCTGCGACGCATCTTCGAGGCCTCCTGGGGGGGCGTCTTTGGGGTGATTGTTGAGCCTCTTGTGCGAAGGCCGAAGAAGCGAAAATGCAAAACATGTACGTTCCCGGAGGGAATGGGACAGATTTTCCGTCTTTGGGCACTCTTAGGAGGTGTCAGGGTACGTTGGAGGCTTCTTGAGCCGTCTGAGGAACATATTGAGTGTCTTGGAGGGATGTTTCGGCCACTCAGGGCCCTCTTGGGCGTCTGGGCGGCCGCTGGGTTCTTTTATGAGCCCGCGTTCGAGCTCTCCGGGGCGAGGGGCCGACCCGCAGTGAGCTGGAGCTCCGATTTTGCCACCAAAATTAACTCGGACCCCCCCCCTACCCCGGCAGAGCCACCCCGGCACCCACCCTCCCCAGCCGAGCTGAAGCTCAAGAACTGAGGATCAGGCCATATCTGAGGGTCTTAGTCTTTGAAACTCACTCGCCGGATCGGCGGATTACGAGGGTTGGGTTTCTGCTCTCCAGTCTCACTTTCCCCCCGAGCGCGCCGCCTATGAAGTGGCGCGGGCCCAAAGCGCCCCCTCCTCCGCAGCCCTCGCTCCCCCCGTTCTTTTTTCTCTTCCCCCATCTTGGAGATCTCCGTGGCCACGCCTGCGGTCGCCGATGCCCCGTGCCGGGGCCGAGCCGTCCGTTTCGCTCTGCCCTTTGCCTCGCTCCTTCCACGCCTGCCCCGTTCCCTGTTTTTTTCCCTCCCTCTCCTCGTCATCTCCTTCGGCAGCAAGTCATGGGAGCCTGGTGCACCCTGTTTCATTCAGTCTCTAGCGTCGATGAGCGTCTGGGAGTCGATGAGATAGCGCCGATTTAGCGTCAGTTGGCGTCGATTTAGCGTCCATCCTGCATCTTTTGGTTTTCGAGCCGATCCGCCTACGGGCGTTTTGTGCGTTGATTGCTGCGCTTCGTCACGAGGATGCCATCTCGATGCTATCGCAACCCGATTTTGCGTTCCGTTCTTTGATTCAGCCGCGGGTAAGGCGTAGAAGGAACATCAGCCGCGGGTAGGTAAGGCGTAGGAGGAAAAGAGTGTGTGTGTGTGTGCGTGTGTGTGTGTGTGTGTGTGTGTGTGTGTGTGTGTGTGCGTGTGCGTGTGCGTGTGCGTGTGCGTGTGCGTGTGCGTGTGCGTGTGCGTGTGCGTGTGCGTGTGCATGCGTGTGTGTGTGTGTGCGCGTGTGTGCACGTGTTTTTTTGTTGTTTGTGTGTGTGTGTGTGTTTGTCTGTGTGTGTGTGTGCGTGTGTGTGTGTGTGTGTGTGTGTGTGTGTGTGTGTGTATGTGTGTGTTTGTTTGTGTGTGTGTGTGTGTATGCGCGCGCTGTCAGATGGGTCCACCCCTTGCTCTGCATCCACGATGATGGGTGCAATTCCATTTCGGTAGTTGGCGCCCCTTTCCATCACTGGCGACGGTGCTGTCACTTCCCTGGAGGACATAGTGTGCGTGTGTGTGTGTGTGAAAATGGGAAAGTCATCCCCTTCAAATGCTCCCCTTCCTAGGGGGATGAGGAAGAAGATGGAGGGAGGGAGGGGGACGGGGAAGGAGGGAGGAGGGAGATGAGGTGGGAGGTCCGTCGTGCCCTGTCGCCCTTCGGCCCCCTCGCCTCCACCGTCCCTCGGGGCCCGAATGGATATCCACTGGGCTTCGGTTCGGCAGGGGAGAGGGCACGGTCGGGGCTTTGCGGGGGAGAGAGGAGCAAACACCCATGTTTTTGGAAAGGTCCGCGCGGATTTCTTGGATTATGCGCTGGACCCCGCAGGCGGCGCCTCCAGCACCGCCCCCGGGCGCGCTCCGCGCGCCAGAGAGAGGGGGCCCGGTGCCGACCCGAGGAGTCCGTGCGGACCCTGAGAGAGCGTCTGCTCATGCAGGGCCTCCCCTCGGGGCGGATCGAGGAGGCTCCTCCGCAGTTTTGGCTCCAGCTGTCTTGCGGCCACCAGTGCTGCAGTGCATGGCCGCTGGCACCCCAAAGTGGGCAGCGCAGGAGCCGGGGGGCATGCTCCCGAGTCGTAGCGCCAGCGCTCGCTTCCAGCCCCGCTCAGCAGGTCCAGTCAGCCCTCGGCTCGCAACTGCAACGCGCGAGGACGTGCGATTGGCGGTCCAGGAGGGCGCATGGCAGCTGCAGCGCCACGTGGATGCGCAGGTGCAGCAGCTGCTCGAAGCGGTGCACTCCCTGGAAGGATCAGTCCAGCGCCAGAGCGCGTTGCCGCACGCCACGAGGGGGCCGACGCTGAAAGCCGCTCCGCAGTCGCTTGAGAGCATGGGAGGTGCGGGCCCAGCTCACCAGCCGGTCTCCAGCGGGGAGCGCGAGACGGACGCCGCCCTCGGTGGAGCCGGTGGCCGACGCCCGCCAGACGCCTCGCGCGCGAGCCCGACGCTCCTCGGCTCCGCCGGTCGGTCTGCTTCCGTCTACAGCGTGCAGGACTCTGCGCCGGGGGGGCACAAACACATCCGCCGATTGCGGAGGCATACCGCGAGGGATCTCGCGCAGCGCGGGGGGAGGCTGGCGCCCAGCGCCGCTCGAGGTCCTGCGGGGGGGGGGGGGGCACGCCTCCGATCGGGGGGGCGTCCACTGGCCACCCCACGCAGCCTGGCAGTGCCGCTCCTGGGCCCAGGGTCGGTCTGGCCAGGAGCGGTGGGGCGGTCGGTCAGCGTCCCTCGATCCAGTCGGCGGCGAGCCCGGGGGATAGTGAGAGTGGGCGGGCCTCTTCAGAAGGCTCGGAAGTCCCCCGGCCCTCTGAGAAGTTTCCAGAGTCTTCCCCGCGAGGGCACAGAAGAAGCCTCTCGGAAGGCGCGGGGGGGCTCCAGAGAAGCCCCGCCTTCTGAGGAGGCCTTCTCCTTCTCGCTTCCTCCCCCCTTTGCTCGCCGCCGAACTTTCTGACGAAGGGGCTGCGGCATCGTTTTCAAGACGCGAATGGCTATGGCACCCCCTCAGAGGAGAAACATAGACCACCGCCACCGAGCATCCACTGGGGGGGCGACCCATGGACGGTGGTACGCCCGAGCGCCACCCAGGACTCAGGCGTGCTACCGCCCAGGGGTGGGTCCCCCCCAACGGGTTCTCGCCGCCGATCCAGATCGGCGGACGGGGACTCAGACCTCCGACGTCGTGATTTTTTAGCAAAGTCGACCCCCAGAGGTCTGAAAGAGTGCGTTTTGTGGCCGCTTGGAGGGTGGGTGGGTGGGTTGGAACCGGACCCCCTCCCCCTGGGTGGAGGGGGGGGTTCGAACCCCCCCTCATCCCTTCCGTGACGGAGGGGGGGGGTTCGAACCCCCCCCCCTTCCCCCTACTTCCTCTCTCCCTCTCCTCGGGCCGGCGCCGGCGTCGGCGGCGGCTGGCGGCGGCGGGGGGGGTGCTGTGGTGGTGGTAGTGGCGTTGGTGGAGGTGGTGGTGAGGTGGTTTGTGGTGGTTGTGTGGTGGTGGTGGTGGGTTGTGCTGGTAGTGGTGGTGGTTTGTGGCGGTGGTGGTGGTGTGGTGTGGTAGATTGTGGTGATGGTGGTGGTATTGGTGGTGGTGGTGGTGGTGGTGGGGTGGTGGTGGTGAGCTGTTGTGGTTGTGGTGGTGGTGACTGTGGTGGTGGTGGTTGTGTCGTGGTTTGGTGGTGGGTTGAGGTGGTGATGGTGGTGGTGGTCGTGGTGGTGGCGGTGGTGGTGGTGGCGTGGTGGTTTGTGGGTGGTGGTGGTAGTGGGCTGGGGTGTTGGTGGTGGTGGTGCTGCTGGTAGTGTGCTGGTGGTGGTGGTGGTGGTGGGTGGGGTGGTGGGTGGTGGTGGTTGCGGTGGTGGTGGTGGTTATGGTGGTTGTGTGGTGGTTTGTGTGGTGGTGTTGTGGTGTTGCTGGTGGGTTGTGGTGATGGTGGTGGTTGCGGCGGTGGTGGTGATGGTAGTGGTAATGGTGTGGTGGTTTGTGGTGGTGGTGGTGGTGGCAGTGGTGGGTTGTGGTGGGTTGTGGTGGTGGTGGCGTTTTTGGTGGTGGTGGTGGTGGTGGTGGTGAGGTGGTTTATGGTGATGGTGGAGGTTGTGGTGATGGTGAGTTGTGCTGATTGTGGTGGTGGTGGTGGTGGTGGTGGTGGTGGTGGTATGGGGGTCTGTGGTGGCGGTGGTGGTGGTGGTGGCCTTCGGCTCTTCCCGCCACTGTGTTTTGGCAAAGGGTCAGAGTTCCAACGGATGCCTCTTGAGGTTTCGTCAGAAGGGTCTCGGGGGCGTCTGAGGAGCATGCGAGGGCTCGATATGGCGATTTGTGTGTTCCTTCTGCGGCCTCTGGGCCCTCACTGGTCATCGTCGCTGCGTCCTCGCCGTCGGCGCTGCTGGCCGCCGCCAGCGCCAGGAGGGGGCTGGCGTTCGGAAGGGGCGTTCGGAAGGGGGTGGGGGGGTGGGGGGGAGGGGAGTCCCCCTCGTTCTGGTCGACGGCGCCGAGTGTTTGGGGGGGGGGGGGGGCACCCCCTGGTTTGAAACGCGCCGCCGAATGTTCCCAAGGCAAGCGCCCGTGAAACGTGCTCTCTCAGAGGTGTCGACCCCTTCCCCTGGACCGGTTTGTCATCCAGAGTTGTTTTTTGACGGCCCCGAGGCCCAACAAGGGCCCCCGGAGGCCGAAAATCGCGAGAAACTTCCCGTTGCGATTTTTTCACAACGCGAGGGGGTCTGGTAGAGGAAAGAGAACTATGCACATACACCGATTCTGGCCAGGCGCATCCTGAGCCCAGGATCGATGCATACGCCCGCTACCCTGGCCAGGAAGGTATATGCACCGATCCTGGGTCAAGGACGGGCCTTGCCAGGATCGGTGCATGTGTATAGTTCTCTTCGCCCGATCTGGGTTGTCCGTCGCTGTCAGCGCCACCTGCTTCGAAGCTCCCATGAACAACAGGCCCTCCAGGGTTCTCGAGCTTTCGAGAGCTCAAGGGGCTGGCAGCTCGAAGACCTCGAGCCGCTGGAGGGCCGAGGATGATGATGATGATGATGATGATGATGATGATGATGATGATGATGATGATGCTGATGATGACGATGATGATGATGATGGATGACGGTGATGGTGATGGTGATGATGATGACGACGAGGATGATGATGATGCTGCTGCTGATGCTGCTGCTGTTGCTGATGATGATGATGATGATGACGACGACGATGATGATGATGATGATGATGCCGATGATGATGCTGATGATGATGATGATGCTGCTGCTGATGCTGATGATGCTGATGATGATGCTGATGATGCTGATGGTGGTGATGATGATGATGATGAGGCGGATTATGAGGATGAGGATGAGGATGGGGATAATGATGCTGATGATGATGATACTGATGATGCTGATGATGATGCCGATGATGATTATTATGATGATGATGCTGATGATGCTGCTGATGATGATGATTATGATGATGATGATGACGCTGATGCTGCTGCTGCTGCTGATGATGATGATGATGAAGATGATGATGATGATGATGATGATGATGATGATGATGATGATGATGATGATGCTGATGATGCTGCTGCTGATGATGATGATTATGATGATGATGATGATGATGATGA